ATGTTTTGTATGCTCTAGTTATTAGTGTAATATTACCAGAGAAAAAGCTACGTAAGATTAGGTTAACAACTCTTAATGCCTTTTTGGCTATGTAGTTACAGTGGGCTCTAGCACTTAGGTCATTTGAGATGAGTACTCCAAGATCCTTGACAGAGTTTGGATCATCAACAAGGTCTTGACTATTCAGCTTGTATTTTATTTTCTGATTTTTATTTTTTTATTTTTGCTAATATGTAGGAGAGAGCATTTATTTGTTGAGATTTGAAGTTGCCATTTGTTTGACCATTCTGATACATAGTCAAGATCTTTTTGAAGGGTAGCAGTATTGTCTATGGTATTGAATAGCTTTACATCATCAGCGAAGAGAACGCAGTTGCCCTTGATATGATCACAGAGATCATTTATCTAGAGTATGAAAAGAGTTGATCCTAGAACACTGCATTGGGGGACACCACTGTTGACAGGTACAGAATTTGATAGGACGCTCCCAATTTTGACCATTTGTTGTCTGTTTGACAGGAATGCTTCTATCTAGTTAGGCAGGTGTCCAGAGAGACCATAAGATTTTAGTTTTAGGAGTAGTTTGTCGTGTACCACTGGATCAAAGGCTTTACAGAAGTCTATGTAGATTGTGTCTATTGCTTTGCCCTGATCGAGTTGTGTAGTCCATATGTTTTTGCAGTGTAAGAATTGCAGATTACATGAAAGTTTTTTTTTTCCTGAAACCAAATTGTTTATTAGAGAGTAGGTTTTTTGTTTCTAAGTGGAGGATGATGGATTGGTTAATAATTGATTCCATGACTTTACAGGTGACGCAGCATAAAGAGATTAGTCTGTAATTTTCAACTAGGCTGGGGTCTCCCTTTTTGAAGATGGGGATGACCATGGCTTGTGACCATAGTTTTGGCAAGGAGCTGCTCCTGAAAGATTTTTCAAAGATTATGCTTAGAAGTTCGGCTATGGCAGTGGGTAGCTTTTTTAAGAAGTGGGCACATATTCCATCCGGTCCAATAGATAGAGATGGTTTTAGATTGCATAGTGCTTTTTCAACATTGTCTTCTGTAAAATTGATATGTATTGATATGTATCATTGTAGTTGTCTGTGGTTCAACTAAGAAATACTGGGCATGATCCATTGCTGTTTACAAATACTGAGAATGTGTTAAAGAGGTTGGCTTTAATAGTGTCATCATTGCAGTCTTTACCATTAGGTCCTTTCAGGGGTGGGATGGACCTTGAGTCTTTTAGTTTGTTGTTTACAAAATTGTAGAAAGTGTGGGTGGAATTGGTGCATAGAAGGTTTTCTTCTTGTTTAATGTGATAATTGGTACATTCTGTTTTTATCTGGTGGCATAAATTTTTGTATCGGCTTTTGAAGTTGGCAACCTGATCAGATTTGTTTTTCCGTCAAAGTGATTTCTTTTTGGATTGAAGCTTCCTTATTGTTTTGGGTAATTTGTTTTTTCTGGTTTTGGGAGTTGTTAATGGTACATATAGTTTGATGACTTTTTTGACTTTGTGATGATTTTTGTGTGGACGTTTGTTGAGACAAAAGTCAATCATGTTGTGGTCACTGTTGGAAAAAGGTTCTTTAATTTGTATTCCATAAATTGAATTCAAACTATTGCAGAAGATGAGATCAAGGCAGTTGTTAAGTCTAGTGTTGTTGGTTACTAGTTGTTCTAGTCCCAGATTTGTTACTGCATTGTAGAAGATTGCATGTGTGGGTTTAGTTGTACATTCGTTAAGGGTCCAGTTAATATGAGGTAGATTGAAGTCACCAAGAAAGATAAAAGCGTGTGGGCAGGATGCTGCCCATGTTAGTAGTGTATTTAGCTTGTTTGCATGTTCAATGTCATAATCAGGGGCTCTGTAACATAGTAAGAACCGAAATGTGATATTTAAGGACAGTTCACAGACGATGGTCTCAGGAATAGCAAGCTCCTGGGTAACTTGGATGTTTTTTAGATGTAGGGACTTTTTATAGAAGATAGCAACACCACCTCCTCTACGGATTTCACGATCTGATCAGTAAACATGATAGTGACTTACTGTGGTAATGGAGTCAGGGAGAGATGCATTGACCCATGTTTCACAGACAAATACAATATTGAATTTAGCTGTATTTAGTAAGAGGATAAATTCAGGTATTTTATTTACAAGGCTTCTTGCATTGAGTAGCTTGCATTTAAGGCCAGTTGTGGTTGGAATAGAGGTAGTTAGGGGCGTGCATGCCTAGTTTTGAGTGATGTTGAGTGATGTTGAGTTGCTGGTCCCAATTAGGTTCATTAAGTGAGGACCTATAATAGCAATAAGAAATCTAGCAGAAATGTATACACTCTTTCCCTCTGTCATTTCTGTTTCCTAGGTTCTTTCTGTTTCTTTTCCATACAATCCAACTACATTTTCCTCTTTAGTGTTTCCAACTTTGGCATTCCTGTTTCTAATCACAGCACATCTTGTGTGCATGTTCTGTAGATTTGAGATTGAATTTGACTATTAACTTGTCAAATTCTTCTTTTTCTGCATCAGTGGTTGGAGTATGAGCTTAGTTAATATAATAATAATTCGGGTAGTCTGTGAAATCTAATGGGTATTATTTGGTCATAAAATGCACTGTATCCAAATAATGTCTTAGTTATATCCTTCCCAATTTTTAAAGCAATGCTTTAAAAATCTTCTTTGGTTTTGGTGTCGTTAATAGTAAACCACATGTCTATGTTGACATTTTTCCATGCTCATTCTCCCTACTTCCCATGTTCCCACTGTAGTTGTTTCTCTACAGCTTTGAATTTGCATTTCCTTAGACATTAGACATCCCAAAGGGTTTTAATCTAGTCACATCATATATACCATTAATACTCTGAAGGATCTTCAGTTCTTCCTCAGAAGTATGTTGTGGACTATTACTCAGCACTATATCATCACTATATAATTTTATCTTGTCTGCCCATATAATTAATTTGGTACAGTACAGGAGTAGTTCACCATTGCCATCTCCCTCAAAGTATCCAGTGATGCCTTTGCCATTGTCACTGAGATGTTCGTTCACAATCCTCCCTTATTGCTGCTGGTCAATATAGCCACTGCTGGACAGTTTTATGTCCTGGGTGTCTCTGCAAAGAATATATCTTCTTGACATAAAATCCCAGAGTACTTTAATTGTCCCTCCCAGGAGCCCTTTTTCATGATGAGACACCATAGTAGGACTTGAGGACTTGAACAGGAACACTAATGACACATTCCTTTGTAATATTTGGTGAAGCCAGAATGGCTGGTACTAGAGGGAGCCTTTCAAGATAGAAGCAGGTAATACAATTTATTGGGATTAAACACAAGATGTATAAGGGTCTTCCTTCTGAGTAGATCCAGAATAGGTATTTTACATTAAGCCATTTTATATATTTCTACAACATGCTAGAAATGTCAGGTACAAACAACCAGTTCCATGCATATAGGTTCCAAGCTAACTATTTATTGTATTCTGCCAGTAATACGGGAATATCTCCAGACTGCTTACCTTCTCTTGGGTACAGATAAGTAAGGTTCTGTGGAGCTTAGGGAGAGTTAGTCCAAAATCTCCTGTGGCTGCATATTAATTCCAGGCTAATCCTTTGTTTGAGTTTTCTTCCCTGCTGGCTGAGTGTCCCCCAACAAGAAATTATTTTTAATTTGCTGTGAGAAACCTCCTTAATTTTAAATATATGAATAGGTTTCTCAAAAGACAATGAAGTGCCTCATAACTTCTGAATAACAGTCATGCTTTAATCGTATATGAATAATACTATGCAGTTACTTTAAAATGTTAGAAATCTGGCTGTATATCTTTAAATAAATATGGAGATCTGGTCATTTTTAATACAAATCTATGAGGACTCCTTGTGCTTTTGTTTCAGCATGAGAATGAAAGTGGCTGTAAATTAGATTCTGTGAGATATCTTGTTCCTTATTTTTGAACTGATTAGTTTCGTACTGTTGGCAGTGACTTACCCTGTTGAAATCAGCTTGGGATTTTGTAGCAATTTTCAGCATGGTGTTTCAACCCCTAAGGGACTGTGTAGATATTCTGTCAAACCTTTTCCAATAGATGTGTATTTCATTTGTGATATGTACTGTGCTTATTTAAAAGAACCACTCTTCAATCTGTGAGGGAACATTTTCAAAAGCTTAGAGAAACAGAAGTCTGACACATTTATTGTTCTTCCTAAGATGTATTGGCGCCATTAATATGAATAGAATTTCCATATTGTATTTAATTTTGTATTGTAGTATTCTAATTATCAAAAAGTTATTTTAGATGAAATAAGAAATATACAAAAATGTCATCATTTTCTATAGAAATTACTAAATCACTACCATTGAGGTACTGGTAAATCTATCTTCTCTGCCAATTTTAAAGTTTTTTTTTAAAGAATATGCTCTTAGCACATATTATTATAACAAATGTGAGTAATAAATAGTGAATCAGATAGGAAAACTGCTTATTCTAATATTTTGGTTCTGAGAATAGACAAGAAAATATATTTGGAAAATGTGAAAAGTTTTTTTGAAGTCTTGGTTCATGGCTGATTAGTTGCTTGTATTTCTTTGGGATCTTTTTCAGAAGAACAAAATAATAGTCAGTTTGTATTGTAATATCTCATCAATGACTTGCACAAGCCTAATACATTAAAAAAATCACTCTAATTGATGTTAAGAATTTCAAATATCTGTATTTCTCTGTCATTAAAAAACAAGGATGCACAATGAAATGTTGTTACTAGAGATTTTTTTTAAAAATTTACTTCAAAGTCTTTGGGATATTTATTCAAAGGAGGAAATCACAAAATTCCCAGAAATATTCATAAATCAGATATTAGTGGCAAATCTTAATGTAGCCATTCTTTATACTAGAAAAATATCATTTCACAACTATGTAAGTCATGGATAACATTAAAAATGTATTTTCTAGATAACTAAGGTCATTTTATTAATTGCATCTTCTTTTTTAAAATTTACAGATGTTACTTGGAAGATGGAGCTTCAAAAGGTGCCTGGTTGAATCGATCAAGTATTATTTTTGCAGGAGGAGACAAGTGGTCAGTAGATCCTCGAGTTTCAATTGCAACAGCAAATAAAAGGGAATACAGTCTCCAGATACAGAATGTGGATGTGTCAGATGATGGTCTATATACTTGTTCAGTGCAGACCCAACACACGCCCAGAACCATGCAGGTGTACTTAACTGTGAAAGGTATAAGTGATTCCATTTTCTAAATTTTAATTAATTTTTATAGATAGAATAGATTTGGCATCTGATTGTAACAGATCATTAACTCATTTGTAGCTTCTTCTTTTTTTTTGATGCCATGAATTTAAAATACAGTTGGCATAATTGTAGTCACTTACAAACACACATCAAAATGTGTGGGAGTATGAATGTTTTGTGAAAAAGAGATGGGGAGGATTGATTTGTGTTTGCAGAAAGATGTGTGGTATCTATTAAAATTAAGAGATGTCATGTATTCTAACTTTAAAAATTAGAATTGTAATCAGAACTCCCATTAAGAAAAAGATTTTGTTTGTTGTTCCCTGCACGAAATATGCACCAGTTTGTTAAAATGTTTCCTCTTACATAATCCTATTAGTTTGGCACAGCTAGATACCATTATGAAACAAGCAGCAGAAAAAGAATTGAAGATAAATATCCCCTTTTACTCTAATACTTTTTTTTAATTGAATTATTTTCAGCCAAGCTTACTGTAGACCTTATTCAACATTTTAGTTACAAATTAAAATAATTTATATCCATAATGATTTCCAAATTATGAATTTGGATTAAATGAGTCCTATTCTTTCTTGCTGTTCAGTTCAGCATCACTCTACAACAACCCTGATGTTTTATCTTTTTCTTTTGCATCTACTTTAACTTGCAGTGTGAGATGTCCTCCCTTGTCTACCTTATGAATCTCTTATTTCATCAAAAGAATGCAAAAGTAGAGTGAATTTCTCAGTTCAGCTCCTTATTTTAGTAGAGGTACAAAGTAAAAATATAAATTATTTTCAGTCTGTTGTCTCTCCCTTACAGCCAACATTGCTATCCCATTTTTCTCCATTAGAGATGTATGTAGTAAATTAGATTATTTGCTGAAGTTTTCTGTTGACTACTGCGATATTTCCTAGCTTCATCTCGAAACATTACTTAAGTAAGAAAAGTGTTTTCCCGCCCCCCCGGTCTCTATGCATTACATTTGCCATTCTGCTTTTTTGATTAACCAGTACTTCAAATATATAATAGATCTAATATTTTCTACCATAATTGATATATGACTCTGGCTTTATAGTTAACTGAAGCACAGAATGTTTGTAGTAAACATATACATCATATGGCTGAAGGTAAAGAAAAAGGATGGCCTATATATTCAGAGAAACTTGTATATTGGCTGTGTTTTACATGTAGCAGTGGATTAAGTATTTATTCATGAACTGCAACACAGACTATCACATAAACTGTTCCTGAAGTGGTTGTGCCTCTTTTCCCCAGCCAGATTCCAACCATCAATGAATTGGCCAGCAGCTGGTGTTACTTTAAAAAAAAATAACCCCCAAATGAGAGTGCTATAGAGTAGCTGAAGTAAAAGCCGTTCCAAGTTAAGAGAGGAGTTGATATTTTGTTAAAGTTTTCTACCTTGACCATTTCAGCAATGTCACGTCATTCAGGCAACATGCTAAGCATAACCAAATTTCAAAGGTACTATATGAACCAGGTCATATTTGCTTTTGATCTATGCTTAGCTTAGTTGTATCCTGTTTTGGGTCTGGTGAAGCTTTTCTCCCAGGCACATTAACTCATCTCTGTTTTATAATGTCTCTTCTCAAATAGTGATCCTTGGTAGCATCACCTCTGCATAAGTCTGCTTTTTCCACTTCCAAAATGAAATTCACCTCAGTGTCTAATAAACCATTAAAAAGAAATACATACAGCCTACACTAAGAAGATATTGGAGGATGGGAAAAAATCAGTTATTCTGACATTGACACGCCCTGAATGCAAGCACTTTGCTTCACAGAATTCTTCCACTTTAATGGGTATGCTGAGAATTCTGGGAAATGAAATCCATATGTCTGAAAGGTACCAAATTGCTGCCCCAAACCCTAAGAAAAAGATGCTTTGTACCAGACAATGTTCAAAGTATTAAAAATGCCTGGTATGTGATTCCATCAATTGTGAGCAGAAAAGCAAGAATACAATAGTATCCCATGCTTTTACTGATGGCAGTAGACAAAAGAAAATCGTGTCAAAATAGTGGACCTTTGTTGAAAAAAACCATTCTCTGAAATGGATATGGCAATCTGAAAATACTGCAGATAAGATTCAGAGGAAATGAATATGTTTTTCTTTCAGAAACTAGAAAATAACAACAATTACAGTCTTGTAGGGAAAATGGCAACTTGATGTAGGCAGCTCAGACGAGTATTTATTTTGGTAATCAAAGTTCTTCCTGTATCTTTTTATGGAAACAAATAAGCATTCAAGTCATTTCCTGCAAGTATTAATAAAGTTCAATAGAATAGAATAGAATTCTTTATTGGCCAAGTTTGATTGGACACACAAGGAATTTGATAGATATTATTATTATTGTAACCAGGGTCAAAGAAAAGAACATAAATGTAACTGAAAACAGTGTTTCTTGGAAATTTACAAAAAAACCAAAAACATAAAAGCATTCTGTCAAACACAGTTTTTTAGAAAACTCTTTCATCCTTGTCCTGGCAACACAAGTTCAGGTGCACATTTGAACTTGATAATTTCTGTAGGTAGGTTTCAGATTCAATGAAACTGAATAGTTAGAAAGTCCCAGAACTTTTATCACACTTATCACCATTGAAGCTTCTGTACATTTTATATAACAAAGCACCATTTTGTGTCAATAACCACCTCAGAGATTATGCCCTGATTAACTATTTTAAGAGATAGGTGGTTCAGGAATTAGCAATGAAATGAAGGAAGCCTTTTATCACACCAACTGCAGTTCCAAATTGGCTTGGCCATTTGATTGCTGCCTATCTTTTTCTAAAATGTCCTTTTATGCTGTCACTTCAGATTTCTGTATTTAAGCCCCAATAAAGTACAAACAAAGAAAATCAGATTAGAAATACCTTGCATTTTTTTTACAAAAGATAAAAAGATAAATGAATGAAGAAAGATCACTTTGTTTATTTAGTAGCATTTATCTTGTAATAAAATCTGGGGGCTTACAAGGATAACTATCAGTAATATATTTGATGCTGTATCCTAAGTCAGATCATTGGTTCATTTCATCTGATATCATCCACTTTACTCACTATGATTTTCCAGATTTTCAACAAAAGGTTTTTATACTAAGATATTTTTTTGTACTTCAGATGACAGGGCTAATCCTTCTTAGCTTGCTACTGTTATATGAACTAGTACTATATATCGTAGTCATTTTATTAAAGAACAGTGTTTATCACCACTGTTTACGGGCATGTTTGTTTGATAAATACTGACAAATACCCTTGGAACTTTTACTTCAGGTCCCTTGGTTAAGGATATAGATATTGACAGAAGTCATTGATTTATTAATATTGCTAGATGATGGAAATATGGAACAAACAATGATTCTAATATCTGATTTTTTGTTTTAACAGCAGTATAGTTATTGTTTGACTGCTGTCATATGAATGATTTTTTAAAAAGTATATTGGAAGAATTTATCCTAGTATATAATATATGTAGTTCTAAAAGCATTTTTCCAGGTGTTCAATTGTGTTTTTAATATATATTTTTACAATTTACTGTATTGATGTGAATATTGTCCCACAATATTTTGCATATACTTAAGCTCACAACCATCACAGCTTTACAAATTCCACAATGTACAAGGACCCTTGAATACTTTTCTCTAAGAGTGGTATTTTTATGGCACGTGTTAAATGGCAAATTACATTACATTAGTTCTGTCTTCACATTCTCTAAAGGTAATTAGACTTCTTTCATTTATTGAAAGGGTGAATATTCAAATGATGATTATTTTTCAGAAGCAAAAATATAACCAGGCATTTTCATTCTGTCATAAGTCAATATACCTTATTCCATGTATTCATACAAGTAAAACTTTAATATATGGATTTACAATCTGTTGCCCCAAGACCTCACATAGCTCTCAGAATAGGGCTGCCTTTGAATAGCCTCTGAAAGCATAAGCTACAATGGCCCAAGCAGTTATTGGCACCTTTTACTTGGCACATATGATGGCTGGGTTCTGCAAGTTATGTTGTCTTCCAGTATGCTTTTGGACTCATTCTAAAGTGCTACCAGTGATATCCAAAGCTCTTCATAGCCTGGGACCAGGGTATTCATGGGGCAGTCTCCCCAGTTACATCTACCCATGAGATCCAACAGTAAAGACATGCTCCAAGTCCCATCTATTAGGGAGCAGCCTTTTCTGCTATGGTGCCTGCTTTCTAGAACCTCAGTCCTTCAGAGGGTAGACTTGCTCTGACCCGACAAGCTTTCTGTAAGACCTTAAAAAACTAGTTTTGTTGCTGAGTCTTGGGCCCAAGTTATGTGGTTGAGCCTGTATCTCAGTTATGTTGTTGTATTGGTTGATTATATCTTACTTGCCTTATATTTGTTATTTATTGTTTATTGTTTTTAAATGTCTTTATTGTTTTGTTTTTTTAAATTTTGTTAGCTACCTAAAGTTAAGTTTGAGATGGGTGTCAATAATTGAATGAAAAAATAAATAGTGGTTGAATTCTAAATTATAATGTAATAAACAGAGGAAAAATATGAAATACGTGGGGAGAAATCATAAAAACTCAGATGGATCTCTGCCATATTCATCTTATTTACATTTAAATTACATTGAAGCAAACTTAGGTTTTGCTTTTGTTTTTATTATGTTGTAGGCTCTAGGCTCTAGTTAACAGGCAAGACTATCAGAACAAAAAATGTTGTGCATTCCATTTTTACTGAGTCACTGTCTCTGGTGAACATAATTATTTCAATTTTTATTTTGGAGATATTTGGGATAAAAAGAAGAACAAGACATTGCAAACTTACAGGACAAATTAAGACAGTAATATTGTCTGCCCTGGAGAATAAATAGAGGTATAAATGTAGCCTGGATAAATAACAGAACCTAATTCACACATTCTTCACAAAATAGTAATGAATCTATTTTCAAATGTATATCTTTGCCCTAAGGGTTTTATCTAAACCAGGCC